TGGAAACCCATTAACACCAGTCACAAGACTGGCAAAGAAAACATTGGTGGTTGTTTAGAAGTCAGGCCAAGTCATTTTACGCAAGATCTGGTAATTCATTAATCAATCTGGCTGCAAACCTTGAATGAATAACCTGAAATAGTGAAAGAGACTGGCAGCACCACAGAACACGAGGGAGTTTATAATCTGAACCAATGCAAATTACCCTGGTGATGTTTAAGGCTCCCCTCTGCCCTCATCATCTTCCTGATGCAAACCCTTCCAAATAAATAAGAAATCATTTATCTCCATGAATTTCCTTGCTGCCAGGGGCAAGACAGTTCGCGTTTCATTGTGCATCTCTTTCTCTCCCCACATTCTCATTGCTTGTAATACAGCATTTTTTGGCAGCCTACAATAAAACATAGTAGCCTATTTAGGCTTTCCAAATACACACACATAGCATGGTCTTGAAAAGTAACCTGGGCTAGACCTATGCAGAACAATTAAAAATAATCAAATACACCGAGCATCTCTCTGGAACACTGAATTATGTAAATAAATGAAATCCATAGAAGGGCGAGCTTTTCTGAAGTCTTTTTGAAGGCTAAAAAAAGTGTTTTCCCAAGTATGAGAATACCACACTTAGAAATCTTACACAAGTTCATTATACTTTAACAGGTTATTGCCTATCTACGGGCTGCATTTGAGTTATTTGTAAGCAATGCCAACAGAGAGATATATCCACCATAGAGATCTTCTCTCTCCATAATGCTAGGCATGGGTCATAAATAATTTTAAATATGACTAACCTTACATGATAGGGTACGATATATTTGAAGAAGCCTCAGGGGACAACAGTTTTCACTAACTAAAAGCCCTCTCGCTTGTGCCACATTAAGTTGTATGGTTCACATTTTCACACAGCGTCGGCTTTGAGAACGAAAAACTAATCACTCTGATTTTCTAAAAGTAGCCAAATCAATTTTTTACAAATACATTTTTTTAAAGTCTAGTTCTTCACCAAAGAAAATGATGAAAGTGAATGATGCAGTGAACCATCTAAACAACTGGTCTTGGGTGACTTGTTAACTATTTACTTGCATGAACTTGTGTCAATAGACAGTGCCCTGAGGGGCAAGAACTCCTTAATTTTGTCTTTCCAGTAGTAGGAACAACAGGAAAAGAAAAGCAGTGGAAAACCAGAAGTGATCGAGCTGTGAACAGGAAGAAATCAACTAATTCGTAATATGCATATGTACATGCATTGGTAAGAAGAGCCTCCACGCTGGGGCAGACAGTACAGGCTTGATTTGGGACTAGTATCAGTTACACTGGCAGGCGAGCAGAATAATGCAGAGGTGAATCAGGTGTGTCTACAAGATACCGGTGTGTTCTAACACTAGGGTGAAGGCCAGTATCTCATCACACCTAAGCAGATGTGAGCAGGGATTTATACTCAACAGTTACATACTATCTAGACTAATTGCACCTTTATCTCACTTGGCTCCTGGTTGCTACTGTAACTATTAATAATTTCTAGTCCGTGAGACTCCCAGTGCCACTGCTTGTGGGTGCTCGGCTCAAACGAGCTTCCAGGAACATGATTTGCAGAAAGCCTCAAAATTCACTTTCTGAAACACAAGCCTTTCTTTAAAAAAAGTGCAGCAGCTTGAGACATCCAGGAACTTTGTAGAGAGCTTTTGAACACCGTCCCTCACCTAGACAATGCCATGTGTACTGCATTAATACCTCAAAGGAAAGCGCACTTCATTCAAGGTTAGGTTTGGCAATTAACACTGTACAGCTTGCACAATTAACACTGCTCTTGTACTTCCCAACATTTGTTTGCCATTCTGGTTCTTTCCCTTCCACCCCAAACAGACTGTATTTCTAATTTTTATGACAAGGCCTCATCTGGAAGCTTAAGTTCAATAAAACATACTACTCCCATGATGATATGAGAGGAAAAAATGAAAAGAAAGTAAAAAAAAAAAGTTATTTTCTTTAAAAAGAAAAGTCAATGCAGATCAATATGGAAAAATCTAGAGATTACTAAATGGGAAACTGCACAAAACTTCCATTCTCTCAGCTAAAACAAATAGTTCCTTGCAGAGTATGTGAGAGAGTCTCTGGAGGAAGAAGACATCGTCTTCTGTTCTTGAGCACCCCCAGTTGTCACATTACAGAGCGGCAGAGGCGAGAAATAGTGCAAGGTATCCAGCTGCACGATGGAGAATGGGGACAGGGTTAATGTATGGGAGGAGAAAAATAACTGTTTCATTCCCATCTTTCGTTTCCATTAGGAAAGAAGCAGCATATTTAATTTCCAAACTATTATTTCTGACCTATTAGTCGCTGCCTAGATGCATTCCCCCAGCTGCATACCACCTATTTCTTCACACTGAGGCTGCTCATCCTCAGACGCACCCAAACGTGCCCGTGAGAGGTTACATGGAATGACCGGTACCTCGTGTCACCACCTCCCAATGAAGTCAAGTAGAAGCCTATCTGGTTGTCTTGCTTTGATTTTCAGAACAGGAATTGTCTCATATAGGAAGTGACAATTCTTATACAGGGCGTGTAGGGGAATTGTCACTACCTATTCAAGACAATTTTATACCTGGCAGCTGTGGTCACCAGTGCAGCCAGGCGGTTGCACACAGGGCAAGAAATGAGCCTCTGTTCCACTGGTTTTACTGGAACGATTTGTGTGCTTGTAGTTGGTATATGCTTAATTATATTACTTATCTGGAACTTACGCTTTCAAAGTCTGCATCTTCAACTTATTTTTCCGAACAGAAACTGCCTCTGCATTTGGCTTTTGATGAATGAGGAGAAATACATCTCCTCAGTTATGAAAAAGGCAAAGCCACTCCTCCATGCTAGCTGCAAATGTGTCCCCTTCCCCCCTGCCTCCCTGCCACTGACCATCCAAACCTGCACACCTACACACCGTACCCTGCCCGAGGCGGTACAACTGCAATTCAAGAACAAGAGGGGGTTTGGAAACTTTGTAAAACAAGGTGTGGAACATTATACAACTAATGAAAAAAGAGGGCTGAAGCACTGGGCTATGCAGGGCTAATTTCATTGTGATTTGAAAAAAATTAATTCCAAGTTACTTGGGTGTAAATGATAGAAATTGAATAGAGAGGACCAGTTTCTGCTATCAGTTATACTGGTATAAATCCAGAGTAACTTCATCTGCACCAGGGAGATCACCATGGGTTTAGAGATGTATACAAAAAAGAAGAATTTCATTCAGGACACCTTAGGTAAGCATGTTACTATGCTGTTTCGGTTAATCTTTTCCAGCCTTTAAACTCCACTGTGATAATTCGGGGCTTCCCCGAGCCAGTGAGCCAGACGTAGTTCGTGGATCTGCGGTACCTGCCAGGTGAGAGGCAGTACCCATAGCTTGCTGTTGCACAAGGTCTTTCTGCCAGCTAATCAATTTATTGCCCAATTTCCCAGTCAGTGTACAATCTATGGCACCTCCTATCGTCAAGGAGGGAAGGAGGTTAGGGTTCAGGAGTGGCACGGCTGCCCCATAACCATGGGGCAGAGAATCATGAAGGCTTTACACAACAAAAAAAAAGGAATACCAGAGACACAGATAAAGAGACCATAACCTTCCTCTCATACATCCTGATCCTCAAGGCAGTATTTTAAAGAAAACATTTAAATCTCTCCTACCACCCTTCAACTTTTACTTTAAGGCTGCTCTCCGTTGAGAGATACATGAAACATCCCAAATGATGCTCTGGCTCCTGAGCTACTGACAGCCCCCACTGCCTTCTCTGCCACATCCACCCTTTGTCCTCCTTATACACATCAACTATGAGGATCTCTCGATTTGTGTGCAGGGTGCCTTGCACAGTAATGCTCTGAGTGGTAAAAACCTTTACTAGAAATGCCCCAGCTCCAGCTACCCATCAGCTAGCTGCTGGGCTGCACTCCGCTTCTTGCCAGGGAATGCAAGTGGAAGACAACAAACATGTTTCGACTTTTGTTTTTCTTTGTAGCTGACAACTGTGCAACTCCTCGCCATGCTGCCACAGGACAGTGCACTCTAGGCTCTCTTTAGCTGTTTCCTTTAAAAAAAAAAAATCAAAAGTGCCATTTAATTTCTTTCCAGACTGTTTCCCCCCTTTCTCCACATTGCAGGCCTGGTTTTGATCACGAGGATTAAAGGCGCCAGTCAGAACCCATAACACACATCACCACTTTTGCTGTCTCTTAACAGGGGAACAACAGTAAAACTGTTGTCCACCAGGCTAAAAAAAAAAGCAAGCAAGGACTTAAGAACTTTGCAATGTGCACTTGCATCGCCTTGCCTTACCTCGAATATATTGGCGGGTTCATTGCTGTACTGATTGGAGATGATCTCTGACTGGTCGCTGTACCACTTGAGTCCCCCCAGAAAGCTGTCCGCGTCTAGGTCGTTCACATCTAGTTCAGAGAGGTCAAGTTCTGGGAGATCTGGGCAAAGAGGCTGGTCTTCGCCAACCAGAGCAGCACACTGCAGGAAACAGCAACACAGAAATAGTTTCATTAATTACCAGGAATCTATTAACTTTAATACCATGTGATAAGAATTAAGCCTCGATTAAGCTATGGCACAGGGTCACTAGATTTTACTTTGTTTTCTGGGGAAAAAAACCCCTGAGCATTACATCATTGTTAGCTCTTCTTTGTAGCTGACAACTGTGCAACTCCTCGCCATGCCGCCACAGGACAGTGCACTCTAGGCTCTCTTTAGCTGTTTCCTTTAAAAAAAAAAAAATCAAAAGTGCCATTTAATTTCTTTCCAGACTGTTTCCCCCCTTTCTCCACATTGCAGGCCTGGTTTTGATCACGAGGATTAAAGGCGCCAGTCAGAACCCATAACACACATCACCACTTTTGCTGTCTCTTAACAGGGGAACAACAGTAAAACTGTTGTCCACCAGGCTAAAAAAAAAAGCAAGCAAGGACTTAAGAACTTTGCAATGTGCACTTGCATCGCCTTGCCTTACCTCGAATATATTGGCGGGTTCATTGCTGTACTGATTGGAGATGATCTCTGACTGGTCGCTGTACCACTTGAGTCCCCCCAGAAAGCTGTCCGCGTCTAGGTCGTTCACATCTAGTTCAGAGAGGTCAAGTTCTGGGAGATCTGGGCAAAGAGGCTGGTCTTCGCCAACCAGAGCAGCACACTGCAGGAAACAGCAACACAGAAATAGTTTCATTAATTACCAGGAATCTATTAACTTTAATACCATGTGATAAGAATTAAGCCTCGATTAAGCTATGGCACAGGGTCACTAGATTTTACTTTGTTTTCTGGGGAAAAAAACCCCTGAGCATTACATCATTGTTAGCTCTACACAGGTATGCAAAGGGGAGTGGGAAAGGGGAGGGCATGAGCTGCCTTCTCTGTCTCATCTCTGTCCAGAGGCAATGATTTTCCTTCTCCCTATACTCTTTGATAACAATCGTGTTCAAAGCTTTATTAAATCCAACAGCAGAGGCCAAAGCATGGCCTTATTCTCCCGCTTCAGAGGGAACCAGTGCAGGTAGAAGTTACAGATGAATACCTCTGGGCAAGGTCTGTCACGCATTTCCTGATGCATTCAGGTTAAAGAGGCACAGCCTGTTACAGCCTTCAGCCCTGGAGGCTAGCTCATGCTGGAGACAGTCACACTTTCACTTCTACAGATCCTCACTGTAATCCTGGAGGTCAGTCATGATGGTGGCTACCATATGGGTATTAAATAGTACGGGTCAGCGATGCTGCTGTGCTCCTTCCCCAACGCACTCAGCAATGCACAGACCACAGCCACCCAGTTACACATCAGGGTCCTGGCAACCAAAGTGCGTTCTGAAATATCCCGATGTTCACCTTTGGGTGACAGGCATAGTGAGTTCACGCAGCCTTTCACCCGCTTGGTGGGAACACATGTATTGTCCCAGTCAGGATCCTAAGCGTCCCCAGACAGTGGCTGCAGGGAGGGAACCAAATGGGTTTTCCTCCTCTGCCAGCCTCTGTTTCAGTAATCCTCATGTCGAAGGTCTGTGAAACATTTTGGCTGAGGTAGTAAACAAAGCCTAGCCTGCATGGATCCTCTTCAGCAGTGCAAAATGTTTTTGTTTCCATGACTTATGAAGAGAGTAGTGATAAATACAAATAAACCGGGAATAAGTGCCCTTTTATATGCTAGTATGAAGCTAGATAGGGTATTGACTGACCTGCTAAGCAAGAAAAAATTAATAACACACATCCACTTTAGCATGGCAATTGAAACGTTAGAGTATCCACCAAAAACATTTCCTAATTATGGAAAACACATAGTAACAGCTTGGCAAATAGCAGAGTCCCATACGTCAATGCTGCTCGATGAAGCAATTCCTCCTGCACTGTACCACGTACCCTTGTAACTCATCTCTGAACATCTATGTTGATATGGGTATACTGCAAAACACACACAAAGCTGCAAAGGCACCAGGCGCTGAATGGTTAAAAGCCATTTAAAGTCAACTCAGTCTAAGGGCTTCCACCCTGAGTATTTCTATAGCATTGTGTTATGGATGGCCAACAGCAGGTCCTCCTCGACTCCCCTCAGTTGACTGGGTGGTTTGAATGATTTCCCAACTTCTATTTGGACTGAAGTCAACCCAGAAAGTGCCACTTTCTGAAGAGAGATCTGTAGGGCACTAACACAGCATCCATTGATGTGGATTGCTCAATACCGGTTATGTCACTCTCGCAAGGACCGCCTTTTACAATAACGCAAGTGAGAGCTGCTGAAGGTGCATTTCATTGAGGTTTTTGTCCCTGGGAATCTCGGTGCGTCTGCAGTGCCTGGGCTGGATGCAACAGCGCAACCAAGAGCAAAGGTTTTGTCTGTTGGCACAAAGACTCGGTGCAGCTAGAGCGAGCTATAATTTACCAGACAACTTCTACGTCTACCAGGACGCTACGAGATAATCACGGAATAGGCCAAGGGGTAAGGGAGCTGAGAGGCTGCAAAATGAGGCTCTGAAACAGCAGTTGCTTTCCTTCCTATTATTTAAGGGGCTGCAGAACTTTAAGAAGTCAAAACCTCACTTAAGTAATTTTCACTGCACACAATTTTTTATCATTATTTTGGTCATAGGAAAAAAGAAAAACCCAAAGAAAAAAATTAAAGAGTTCCCTCTTCTTTAGTGCGAGACACAACCTTCCGGCAGCAACCTTATAATGCAGAGATGACCTTTTTTGATGCTTGGCCGAAATCTCTGATCTCATTAAAGGATAATCTAGTTTTTGACTGAAAAGGTAGATTCTCAGCATCATTCTCAGGTTTGTGTTGTGGAGGTCAGTAGCTTATAACTGATGCCGTAGACTTCTAAAGTATCCTGCTGATCTGTTACTGCTTTCGTTTGTAAAAATAGCTTCACTCTGTGAACCACCTACTTAAACATGTTTACTCTTGGTAATCTGCATTTTTAAGTTCCTCCAGTGGGCTTTTGAAGCAACATAAACAATTGTATTAAAAAAAAAAAAATCCTGCTCATCGCAGCTTTCATTTGCCTATAGTGACTGCAGTGTCACCTAAAAAAATGTAATTGCTGAAATGAAGTATATATGCTCTTGCCAATGTTGACATGATAATAAAATCAATGTTTCTGAATATGACATTATGCTTCTAATCTGAGACACGTTAGTAGCAAGTGTTCCTGTTATTAATTTATATTTGGCCTTTGGATGATGCCAGATTTAACACTCCAAGTCCTAAAACTGTCCTCATCTGACACGCTGATATTTACTGTTTGCCTATACATCTGTAACAGGTGCAGCTGCATTGCTAGCATACATTTTACTGTCTTCCCACCGTTATTTGATATGATAGTTATTCCATAACTATAGCCTTAATTTTATAGCAACATTTAGGAGGATAAAGCAGTCACTAAACACAAAAGGCTAATTACTGTGCGTTACTTCACTCCAACAGACTTTTTTTCTCTTAGTTCAGGCACAAACAATAAATTAGCTTAACTGCACTGACGATAATGAATCATTATAATTAAGTATAATTCTCCATTAACCTTTTGGACGTTTTTGTGCCTTTGAAGGTAAACTAAAAAAAAAAAAAAAAAAGGAAAAAAAAGGAGACTGGACTTGTGCCATATTAATTATATTAATGAAAAAATAATCTGTGTTTTATTTTTAACAAGTTTTTCAAACAGCCAAGGGGATGAACTTAGGAAAGAAAGAGAGACTTGACAGAATGTGTGTCATGTGGATTCTCTCTATCAATCTTTGCAACCTTACTGTACATCACCTTCATTAAACTGTGAAGCACTGGGGACGCTGATCAGCTACAGTGATGCAGGCCTTTATTAAGCAACACGCCGTCCTGTCATTATGTGAGCGAGAATATAATACATTTTACATTGACAGCAAACATTAACGACTCAAAAAATGAAAGCTGCCTCCCATACCTGCCGCCTGTGGTATTTTAGATCAGTAAAGGTGATCCCCCGAGCCAAAGCAGCACGAAGATGCCTGTATTGCTATAGGAAGTGCAATGCAGGAGCACGTTGGTAAAATCCTACCCCCAGTTAATCCACACAATTAATAATAAGATCAAACCTTTTTTTTTCTTTTTTTTTCCCTCTGCACTATGAAAAAATCATTGACATAAATTATCTATTCTGTTACTAGCTTGAAATTACTGCAGGAACTCTAGTGATTAAAATAAATCTTCAGTATTTCCATATAAGCTGGTTCCTCAATCAGCTCCTAGCAGAATTAGGAATAATACATGACGGAAAAATGAAGCTACGGCAGCTGAGACCCATGCTACGAGCCAGACAACAACCCACAGGATACTCCAGCTACTCAGAAACAATTAGGACTTTGGAGCCAGAAAGTCATCCACTTACAGCCTTGACTCATAATAGCTACAGGACATATGAATTATCCATATCTATTCCACTTTACCAAGAAATCAAAACAAGATAAGAGCAATTACAATATGCAAACAGAAATCAGTGGATACAATGGCAAGCTGCAAATATTTAAAACACGACGAAAAGACTTGAGAATCTGCACGCATGCTCCGCCAGACAGGAAAAATATACTGGAGAACTCAGTACATTTTTACTTTAGATGGGGAGCTCTCTATGGCATGGACATCTTACTTAAAAAGCATCGCCTGTAACCTGCTTTTCCCTCCCCCGTTGCCCGAGGGGAGGATTTTAAGCACTTATTCCAAGCTCGCAGCCAGAGGGTTAGTTCCTTTCAGCGGGTCTGTATTTGGGATTCCTCTCCATGGGGTCCAAAGAAAGTTTGCCTCGCTTCCCAAGTTGCCCGAACTTTCAGGTAACACTCCATTTTGCTGAATGCAAACATGCAGAAATCCTCAAATCTCACTTTACACTCCAGAGATTACCAGGGAGCTGCTTGCTTTTTTTTTTTTTTCCCCTTTATGAATTGTAGCCAGCAGAAGCTGTGGATTTGATGTATTGCCGTCTATTTTTACACAAGCAGCAGTGGCGGCAGCAGCAGCAGCAGCAGTTCACACAGTCCTGCATAAACTCTATTCTCATGGTTCATCCTGTTGTCTCTGCTGTACAGTGGGATTTAACCATTTGTTGGACTACTCGGATTGACTGAGAGCCCTGCTCTACGGGACATTACCTACAGCATCATGATTCCGATACCACGAGAAGCAGGGAAACGTCTCCTTCCAGAAATCTCTTTTAAAAGCATCTAAAGCCAAACAACAGGGTATTCATTCCTGTGTGCATGTGTGAATTCTGCAGCTGATAAACAAGGAAAAAACCTTCGGCAGAGCACAGTGAAACAAGCAATTAAAATATGAAGCCGTTGGTTACTTTTTTTTTTTTTTTTTGGAAAAAGAAATCTTAATCTTATTCTAAATAAACATGGCATTTTTCCAACCAGGCCACTAAATGCCACTGGAAAGACTTCAGACACAGATTCATATCAATATCTTAGAGCATAAATATTGCATATGACGGGAAAGCGAGCCAGAGGCACATGAAAATAGTTTCCAACTGCAGGAGATACCGATGACAGGAGCTCAGCTTTGATTTGCTCAAGGCATCGCAGAGTAACCTTAAAATAGCAAACTTACTGGAGTTAAGATAAGATTCGGACTTGTTCGCAAAGTATGCTGCCTCGGCCGTCCTGCCGGCTCCCCGGCAACCCCGCCGTCCCTGCCGAACGCCTGCACCCCACGCGCCGCCCACGCTGCGCGCCCCTCACCTCGAGATCACTCCATACAGAGTCGTGGTTGCACATGTCCCACGCCATCCAGCTGCGGAGCGACGGCAGGAAAGCTGGCAAACTACGGTCCAGGGGCAGGCAGGCAGGCAGCAGACACTCATGCAGGCAACGAGACCCTCTCTGAGAGTGAACCGAAGGCACCTGTCTTACTACTGTTCCCCGTCACATGACAAAGCTATTAAAAAGTAGGCTGGGCTGTCACTCATCCAGCCTTCTGGTGCCGCTGCTCCAGCCCGTGACGTCACCCAGGGGCAGACCCAGCCTGAAGTGAAGTAAATCTTTGCAAAACCCGCTCAGACCTCAGCGGCCGCGGCACCACGCTGCGATTCAAAGCAGATTTCCACGCCACACCCCCCCGAAACTCCCCTCCTGCCGTAGCATAGCTCACGTCCCTCCCCGTCTTTTTAAAATTCTTGCCTTGCTCGCTTTCTTTCCTCCCCTCCCCTCCCCAAAGCAAACACCAGGCAGAGCTGTGTTTATTATAAAGAAAAAGTGAAGTAACTCCAAGCCCAGCTACAGCCTGCGTGCTCTAAATAGCCTGAGCCTAACCTTTGCAGCGGCTGCACGGCTCCCCGGCGGTGTTTCCTTTGGCGAGGCTATCCCAGAGTTCGGCAAAAGTTACACCGCCTTCGGACTTTTTTTTTTTTTTCCCACTCAGGGATTTTGCACCTCACTGAGTATTTTGGCTAGGTTAATGGCTTCTCGTCGATAACTGCAACTCGGGTTAGTTTTTCCATAGCAAACGCATCAGCAAAATCCCACACACCCCCCCAGCATTTCCCAGGAATGGAGTAAGCATCTATAAAAAACATGCATACAGTTATCTCACCTGCTACAAGGAGGGAGCCTGATCCTCTTCCCAGCTAGATTACAGTATTTCTCAGCTGCTCTTTAATCATTTCTCTGTCTCAGCATACTCCCCCTAGAAACCAGGGTTGTTACAAGCAACTGCCACGGTCCTGCCCATAACTGCTCAGACCCCCACCTGCTTTTTCCTATAAGCATCGCTGCCTCAGGGTGCATTTCTGTACAAACACCCTGCACCAACCCCTCTGACCTGGACCCACCGTTTTCTCATTGAAAACCAAAGAAAAAAAAAAAAAATTTCCTCTTGACATGTGAAAACCCAGGCATGCTGTTAGCAGAAGTGTCTCCTGGTCGAAGCCTTTCCCGGACTGAGGGGCTGCTGCAGGTGCAACTGGTTTGTGATGCCCCTTTGCACTGCATCCACAACAAACTCCGGGTACCAAACTGAACCGCAAAACATTGCCCACAGCAGGGGGGCGAAAAAAACCCCTAAATACAGGTTCCTGTTTAACCGTCTCTACCTGCCTGCTTATTGTCTTAAGTTGCAGGTTTTTTAATTAGCTGGGCGCAAAAAGTCTCGTGAAATGTAAGCACTGGCTCCATCGCACTGGGCTACCAGTCAAAGTCACAAAACTATAATTGATCATCCTCCTTGCCATGAAATATTCATTTTCATTGTTATTTGCAAACTTGAGTATTCTAAAGGCTAAATGAATTCAATTATTACACAAGGCTATGGTGATTCTGCTGAGAGAAAAAATAAATAAAAAGAAGTACAATTCTTGAAACAGCTTTTTTCCCCGCAGACACTGGAAACTTCAGAAATGGTAGGAGGTCTCAGATATATTCTTAGCTTATTTGTGTTCCCTTGTAATTCATTATTGCCAGTCCTGATAAAATGTGCAGTTTTCCCGGCTTGTGCTTAAGTTGCAAATCACATCACACCGTCATATTTTCACCAAGCACAGATGACAAAAATGGCATTGTTTTTACTTTACTTAATTAAAAAAAACCACAGCAAAATACTGAATGACTACAGAAAGCCTTTCCTACGAATGATTAAATTAACGGTATTGCTTTGCTCTCACAATGCAAAAAACCTCATTTCCTTCCCAATTATATGCTGATTTAATGATAAAATTGCAGTAAATTATTAAGATCTGGGGCAAAGGTGAGTACCTCTACCCCCCGAACAGTCAACTGTGAAATAATGCTGGGCACCTGCCTGCCTGGAGTGGAGTCGGTTCGTATTAATTATTATCTGTGGATCCATGGTTGGTGGAATATTCTCCTTCAATACCTACTTATAATTGTGTTCATTGACTGTGCCGAATCCATCATCTGTTTTTTTTGAAGTTTCATTCACACCTTTTATAGAAATGTATTTACACTGGAACATTTCGTATTACTGTTTTGGATATTTTGACCTGCTCATGTTGTTTCTATTTTCTACATTTCCACTTCACTGCTTTTCCTTCAAATTAGCAAGTTAACTGATAAATATAAACTGTGACCTTAGTGGTGCTCTCACTATACAAGCTTTAGAGATTGGAGAACTTTCTTAGTGCACTGCAGACAGGGCGAGCGATAGGTAATACTAACAGAGTCCCCCAGAGCTTTTCTACGGCCCTGTCCACATTACGCCTTGAACTTTGTTGGCAGTTCCAGCCTTACCTGGAAGGGATGCCAAGCACGATTCCAACTACAAAAGACTGCAGGGTTTCAACACGGGTTCCCCACTGCTTGGGAAGAATTTTATTTTTAAGAATCGAAGTGTCTAACCCCAGCCATAGTATAAATTTACTCACTAGGATCTTCCCCCGTGAGGAGAAAAGCGAGGAAGGCAGTTGCCGTGGTGGTGTAGTTTGGAAACGACGCAGCCTCAGCACATGTAAATGAAGCCGGTGAAACCCAGCCAAGCACCTAAGCTTCCCTCAAAGGAAACCCTGTCTTCTGACCATTCCCTAGTAGCTTTAGCAATACTCTCCCCTCGTGTTTTGACAACATGAAAGAATTGCACAAACATCTTTCCTGGAGCAATATCTGAGCACGCACACGTTATTTGGTTCCATAACAAAGACACACAAAGAAAACCCTCTTTCAGCTGGTAAAGTCTGTGGGTCTGTGTGACCCAATCTGCCCCACTGAAATGCCCATCATCAGACCACCTCCTCAGCCACGGCACTTCCCCTGCTTTCAGGTTACTCTGTACCTAATCTCAGCAATTCCCAAATTTTGCCTTTTCTTCTTCAAGGACCATAATTCAAGAAAGTTCTGGCAAGCCCTCCAACAGCATTTGGGCACAAATTCCCAAATCCCGATTCATTCTTTAACAGGACTGGAAGGTATGGCTGCCCGCAACAACAGGGAACAGAATTGAAAGACCGAAGCCTTCAAGCCTTCTGTCCTTGACTTTTTCCTGGATTGAGCATTCATTTTATCTCTTCTTCCTCTTCTTTCACCCACATTTTCTAACTATGGTCATGTTTTTATTCCCTGTAATTTAGATTTCCCAAATAAGCTACTAATTTTGGAGCCCCTGTGATTTTGAAATCCAAAACTTAGTCCCTTCACCATGGCACTGAGGAAGAAAGAATTTCTTTCCTTGCCCCCAAGACTATCGTACTTGCCGATTGTCATCGAAATTTGCTACTTTTCCAGTGGAGTAAGGACAACTAAACATGTATATAAAAATAATGCTGGAGTTTCAGCAAGCTGAGGTTTGCAAACCAGTTCTCACACCAGTTCAACCCCTTCCTCTCGACCCTCCAACAGTGTATGGCCTTACAGCAGCAGATCAGCCAATGCTGTATATAAAAGAGCAAACTGCACTCCAAAGGTGTGTTAGCGTGAATGGTGTTCTATATAAAGTATATGTACCCTATTAATTTTTTATTAGAAATCTTCCTTCTGTGCATCTTTTATTTTTTGCACAGTCCTGTATTTGTTTTCCAGTCCATTCTCTCTGTTCTACTTCTATCCTATTTGTTTGCTGATTTTTTTTTTTCCTTCTCAGCTTCTTTTCCTTATTTATCCAGTTCATCCTACCGAGAATATGCCCTCAGTAGCATAGGCCAGTGAGTCAAACTCCTTGAACTTCTGGGTTCACTGGTGCAGTAATTCTACAATGGAATAAAGCAGTGTGCCCTCTCCAATTTTGCTAGGGCAGTTATGAACTGAGATTTTGGTTTTTTTAAACAAAGGAAAACTACACTGGTGCTCTGTAGCAGCTCTCTGGAAAACTCAAGAGATCTGGGCCAAATTAATTCCTGGCCCAGCTTTGGGCCATAGGCTGCTGTCTGAGGAGCCATATATTAAAGAGTCCAAAATAACTTTCTCCGAACAGCCATGCGTTGCTGACATTACTGACACCAGGCTGCATTTTGCCACATCTGCCTCCAGAGACTGAGAGCTCAAATAAACAGCACTGAATGCCAGGGGAAATCACTTGCTTGTTCACATGCAAATGCACCTGACTGTGAATATTCACTATTAGTGCAGATTAGCTGATTATCAGTGTTAACCAGGCTTGCAGATGTGCAACTCTTTGTAACTCGTGCTTGCAGTAAAACCTTCCAGGAGTGCCTAAGTGAAGCAGGAGCACAGGTACCCGCTACAAGAAATCTTCCTAAATTTTCTCATACCTCCCTGAACATCCCTGTCTCCACAAGCGTATTTCACTTACTCATTACTAAAATAAGAAAAGCAAAGCCACTCCAGCTGATTACATAAAAAATACATTTGTCACTTGCTTCCCCCCAACATTCGGAGCATATGTTCTCCAGGACCCACATTTGCTATGATTTGCAGGAAAATCCAGCTTGTCAGGCCTGTTAAAAGCAGCATGAACAATGTCTTTCACTCGGGTGTTACTGTTTCGCAGAGAGACTAATCTGTAAAAGACCATGTACATTTAAATTTATTGCCCCTATATGTTTGAGAAACGGGGCCATGTAAACACATCGGTTTCCTGGGGAGGCTTTGGTGCTGTTTGAGCACTGAAGCCCAGGCAAGCCAAGGAGACAGATTCCTGTTTTGCAACTTCTTGCACATTGGCAGAGCAGGCAGGACCACATCAAAATCGCAGACCATTGCAGATCTTCATCATCTCTCCTTTACTCACCTCACTGCTGATATTTCCTTGGAACAAAAGGAACCATAAAGTTCTTCTTTTTTTTTTTTTTTTTTTTTTTCCCC